ATTAGCCTCCTCACCTCTCTCTGTCTCTCTGTCTCTGTCTCTGTCTCTGTCTCTCTCTCTCTCTCTCACACACACACACACACACACATTCATTCTATCTGGTACCTTCTAATGTGATACCTTTCAGAACAGGTGTGAATGGTCGCCCCGCACCATCTAGTTCTGGTCTCAAAGTAAAGACATCGTATTTCCATTTTAAGATTTATCGAAAGCAAATATTTCAACATGAAATGCCTGACCCCGAACTGCAAAAGTCTGCAAAAACTCGGTTATGTACAATTGTCTTATCCTGCTAGGAGAGGGCACTGGTCTAAGGACTAAACTCTTAACTTCAGTGTCTTAAACCCTCCTGCCTGCAGGTGGGTGGAGTCGGCCCAGAAGTCAGCTGAAATCATCCGATCTTAGTTCCTGTCAGGAAGTGGGAGGGCAGGCTGGGTCCATTCAGACCCGTTGAGATCAATCCATGGTTGAGGCTGCATTCTTCCTTCTTTACCCCTTAGCAGTTCCCTCTGAAGCCAGCCTTTTCCAGCCATTTGCTTTTTCCAGAATCTGAATGGCTTCCGTCTTTGCTTATGGAAGAACTGCTCAGAATAAATCTTGTGTGCAAATTCCGGTGCGTTTTCATGATTGTTAAAAACGAATCCAACACATAGCAGTGCTGTTGTATCAAAATGAGCACGTCAACGTCTCGCGGAGACATCTCCTTATCCCTTTACCCTTCTCTTATCTAGGGAGGATCAGAAAGCCGGCCTCCACTGCTTTAGCTATGCTTGTGCTGCGAAGGAACCTACAGTCCCTTCTCCTACTATGATTGCAGAACCCCTTTGTTGTCTGGGAGGCGACAGATAACCTGGCACAGTTGACGCTCCAGTGTTTCCTTCTGCTGTGCGTCCAGTCGGTACCGACTCGATGGCACCTAACACCAACAACTACAACCTCTCCTAGTAAGGAGCTCTGAAAGCATAGTGGCTATGAATTGGGCTGCTAATCTCACGGTCAGCAGTTTGAAACTACCAGCTGCTCCGTGGGAGAAAGATGAGGCTTTCTGCTCCCGTAAATATGTACAGCCTTGGAAACCCCGTGCAAGGTCACTATGAGTCAGCACAGACTCCACGGCACAAAACAACAACCACCTCTCTTGGTTCCACATACCATCCTTAAATGCCCTCGCTTTTGTGAATACCCCATGAATATAAAAAGACCCTAGCTCCTACCCCTCTTGAGCTAAAACTTTATGATGCAGGCCCACACGGCAGTGGACATAGCTGCGTCTCATCTTTTGTACTTAAATTCCCGCGTGGTTAAACTGTCTCTTGCATTCTCTTTTCTGTAGTAATCAATGTCTCTCAGAATGAGTCTTGGCTGTTGGTTTTGGTCTCTCAGCACCTTTGTACTTAGAAGCCTTTATCTTTCTGGGCCTGAAACCCAACAAGTCAGTCCTGACTCATATCAATCTTATACAGGGTTTGTTGTTGTTATGTGCTGTGGAGTTGGTTCGGACTCATAGTGACCCTACACAGGGTTTCCGAGGCTGTCAATCTTTACAGGAGCAGAAAGCCTATAAATACTTATGGGAACAGAAAGCCTCTTCTTTCTCCTGCGGAACAGCTAGTAGTTTCGAACTGCTGACCTTGTGGTTCGCAGCCCAATTTGTAACCACTACGCCACCAGAGCTCCTTGGTATAAAGGCTTTACAAGACTATAAATGCTTATGGGAACAGAAAGCCTCTTCTTTCTCCCTAGGAGTGGCTGGTAGATTCGCATTACTGACCTGTGGTTAGCAGTGCACTATGCTGCCAGACCTCCCTCCAATACTACGTGTTATTGTTGTTATGTGCCGTGTGGTGGAGTCGGTTCTGTCTCATAGTGACCCTTTATAAGGTTTCCAAGCCTGTAAATCTTTATGGGAGCCTCCTCTTTCTCCAGCAGAACAGCTGGTAGTTTTGACCCTGAGGTTAGCAGCCTGATTGGTAACCACTACACTACCAGAGCTCCTTCCAACGCTAAGTAGCACAGTGCTTAATGACACTCACCACCTAGAGACAATTGTTGATGTTCAGTGCCATCGAGTCAGCTCTGACGCATAGCAGCCTTGTATAGGGTTTCCCAATGAGCAACTGGTGAGCTCCAATTGCTGATGATCTTGCTGTTCAACCCGACCTTGCAGTTCAGCTCATGAACCCACAGAGCTAGGATTTTAGGATCCACATTGAATCTTAAAAGTTGCCTTTTCTAACAACAGTTCTTCCAGCCTTGAGCTATGCCCTGAAGGAGACACTCCTGACCTGATGCTCTGGGAGGAAACATTCCTTTGTCTGGGAGATGGTTGTCCAGCAGGTGCAGAGGACCATCTACCCCCAGAGGGTATTTTCACCTATGGTCAAACAGATTCAAGATGTGATAGCTTCATGGCTTGAAGCCCAGCATTATCCATTCGTCTTTACAATGGAACCCCAGAAACAGACAAGATTAAGGAAGCAATTTCACTAACAGGTGACCAGAAAGACCTGTCCAGCCACCATCAGGTGACCACCCTGTAATGACCTGAAGGGCAGGTACCTTTGACCAACCCTGTGACCCTACTTATCAGTTACCAGCTTTGCTGCTGCTGCCTTTGAATGGATTCCGACACATAGCAAATTTACAGGACAGAAGAGATCCGCTCCATAGAGATTTATAGGCAGAATGCCTCATTGTTCTCCCAAAGAGCGGCTTGTGGATTTGAACCGCCAACCTGGCAGTTAGCAGTCTAACTCCTAATGCACAATGCTACCAAAGCTCCATTATCCACCAAATCCCTGCCAAATACCCCTCCTATGGATCCCACTGTTTCTACCCGCATTGTTTTTTTTTTTAAAACATGTTTTTCTCCATGTTTTGTTTTTTTAAGCCAGGTGTGGTTTTGTTTCCTAGAATCAACACTTGACTTTGAACCACTAGATCAGCAATTCAAGCCCAGCAGGCTGCTTCTTGGAAACCGGATAACAGGGTCTCTATAAGTCAAAAGCCACTGGATGGCCCTTACAAACAAGCAGCAATGGTTTTGTTTACTTTTAGTTCCTACTCTACTGATTTAAAAATGTCTTTTTCTCCCCCGCTCTTTGTCCCGTGGAGGGGTCATTTTCACTTTGAGGACTTGGACATGGGGTCCTGGTCTTCTGTGGTGCTGGTGGTTATGTGCTGTGGAGTTCTGCCCACTCAGAGATGATGCTCTACACAAATCCTCTCTCTGATATGACTCCAGCGTTCAAAAAACAAAACACTTTTATTTTTTAATTTATTTTTGGAGACAACGTATACATCAGAACATGCTCCCCACAGAACAATTTCTGCACACATTGCTTAATGGATCAGTAGATGGTCCCGCTTTATAACTGTCAGCATTTTCAAAGCTGAGTCCTTATAGAGGGGGGCGCATGGCACAGCGGGGAGGAGAGGGGCTATCCCAGACCAAGCACTGTCACCCCAATCTCTTGGTGGGTTGTGGCAGGCAGGGCCCAGCCGTCCAGGAGACGCATCCTGGTCCTCAGTAGAAGCGCCTAGTTCCTATTGTAGCTCAGGGTTTGTTAGGAAATGGCCTAGTAGGAACTGTAAATGCCCAACTGAACTACCTACCGCAGGGAGGCCTGGCAAGACCTAGCTTGCCACATGCAGACCGGGTTCTGCCTTTCTGGTATTCCACCTCTCGTAAGGAGAAGGTTTCCAAGGAGCGGCTGGTGAGTTTGAACGGCCAACCTTGCAGTTCAAATGAACCTTGCAGTCCAGAGCCATCAACCCACAGCACCACACAAAGGCATTTTCCCTTAAGCTAACCCTGGGCCCAGCACACCCTCTTCCAACCACAGAACCCCTGACATCACTCAAAACCCCCTCCAAGATAGGTTCCCGGGAGGTGGGAGCTGTATCTCTGAGGCTGAATCTGCACTTTAACCCAACTTCTGGGGAGAGAGTTGTTGGACGAAACTCAGGACGCACGGCTACAGCTGAATTGCAGATAAACAACGAATCGCTTCTTGGTGTAAGCACATGCCAAATACTTAAAACTAATAAAAAAATAAATGAAAATAAAAAAGGAACCCTGGTTGTGTATCAAAAACTCAGACGTAATCTGGGCGCTTTGCATGTTTGCCCTGTGTTGTGCCCTGTGTTGTGCCCTGTGTTGTGCCCTGTGTTGTGCCCTGTGTTGTGCTTGGTGCTTTGAGACCTGTAGCTCAGAATTTCCATGTGCAGCATTCGGAAGTTTCATCGCTTTACTTTCGTGAAGACACGTTTATCTGCGAAGAGCTACAGCCTCCCCGGGGCCGCGGAGGGCACACCCCAGCAAGTCCCCAGGGCCCCGCCCGCTTTTTGGCGTCCCCAGCGTCTCCACTGGAACCGGGAAACGATCTCGGAGGTGTTTCCATTCGCGGAACTGAGGCGCACGGGGGCGCGAGGGCGGGGAGGTCGGGGTCTCCCAAGTCTGCTGCGCACTCGGGCGCATTTCCTCGCCCTCGGTCATCTGGCTGCGCTCCAACCACACCGCCCCGCCCCCGCGCACCTCCTCCAGGGATCTCGGCTCCTCCCCGCCGCTCCACCCCGCCCGATCCGGGGGCGGAGCGCACGCTGACGGCGCCCCCCGCCTACCCGGCCGCTTCCGCCGCCCTCCTCCCG